AACGGGTTGGTAAGTCTCTTGCTGGTTGTAGTGGAGACTTGGGATCGAATCCCACTTGCACTTGGGTTGGGGGATGGGCTACCCCCCTTTGTGTAGCCCTTCAAAAGAAATAAAAAAACTAATGCTTATGTCCAAGCAAAAACAATAGGAGAGGAGTCTGAGGAGTTTCCGAGGACCGATTCGGAGAAGGTTGAGCGGGTGGATGTTGGCATTAATGAGAAGTCATGATCATATTGTGGAAGATGTTGTAGGAGAAGATGATGGTTATTGGTGAAGGTTCGGTGAAAGGTCAAATGGGGATTCTTAGCAAGCTTCGAGTGAAGCAGATTCAAATGCTGATCATGATCAATATTCAATTGGTCCAGAGGATAGTTCGTTGGTTCCCATGACCTCATGTCTTGAAACAAGATTGTCTCCTCCTCAAGTAGTGGTACCACAAGTTTTGGAAGTCTTTGTTTATGCATTTGAGCTTGGTCTTAGTGGTGTGAAGTGGAGCCCTGCATTTTCTCAGAGGAGCTTGGAGAATTTAGCTGTTGAGAAGTGATAGTGGGTAAGATTGGAGTTGATTTGGTTAGAAGAAAGGATCTAACTCCGTGGTCTCTATTGAAGGAGTGGTGAATTTGAAGAAACATAAGGGTCCTAGTAGATCTCACCTGGTGCATGTTACGAAGGTCTTCTCCCGTTTGAAAGAGGGGCTAGATGGTGCTGGTCCTTTCAGTAAATATAAGAGGGTATATAGCAGAAGAGGGGCAAGCAAGAAAGCCATTGACTAGAGGTTTCTTGGTGGGGATGGGGCTGATAGTCAAGATGCTTTTGTGGTGAGTGTGCTAGAAGGGGAGTTCCAGAGTCTAGGAGAATTTAAGGAAAAAGGAAATGAAAAGGAGTGCCAAGTATCAAGGAGAGATGAGAAGCGCTGTTCTAGAGGAAGTTTTTGAAGGTGGTATGGAGTTGAAGATGCTTGCGATAGAGATGTTATGGTTGGTAAAGCTTTAGGATTGTTTTTCTTGGGTGGAGAGGCTTTCACTAGAAGAGCTTTTGAGGAATTTGAAAAAAGAGGAGTAAAGGAGGAGAGGCGCAAGAAGTCCTTATTTATGGAACGAGGGAAGGCGTGGATTGAGGGAGAAGATTTGGATGAGGATTTTGATGGGGAGGACTAATTTTGTTCTCAAGTGGAGTCTGTGGGAGTTGCATTTTATTTTATTTTATTTTGTTGGGGTAGTGTTCTTGCGAGGCATTTGTTTCTGTTCGGGCCTTGCGTAGGTTGTGAGTGTGTTGATTTTGGTGTAGGGTGTTTCTTTTTCTCTTTCAGGTGATAATCGGGTGATTCCTTATCACCTTCCCTTTGTATTAATTTTTTTTTTAATTTTCAATGGATTTTTTTTATTATAAAAAAAGAGTGAGAGTGTGACTTGAACCTAGATCAATTAATGATAGCACCAAATCACTTAACACTACTTTGATCCACTAAGCCACTAAAGTGTTGTCATTGGGAATTCGAGTAGTACTACCCTCCATCATCAGTCAAGAACAAGGTGCTTTCGTGCAGGGAAGGCAAATAACAGATCAGATTGTAATAGCAAATGAGTGCGTGGAGGACATGAGAAAGTCAGGAACTCAAGGTTTCGTTTGTAAACTAGATTTGGAGAAGGCTTATGATCTTGTGGATTGGAGTTTTTTACTAGAGGTCCTAGGGTGCTGTGGGTTTGGAGCTAGATGGTGCAATTGGGTAAAGGGCTGTATTAGTTCCTGCCACTACTTCGTTTTGGTTAATGGGGTGGTGAAAGACTTTTTTCCAGCTTGTAGAGGCCTTAGACAAGGTGACCCTCTCTCTCCTTTTCTTTTCACCCTAGTTGCAGATGTCTTCAGTAGATTAATATCTAAAGCAGATAGGGAAGAGGAAGTTAGAGGCTAGAGGATTGGAAGGAACAATGTCCAAGTAACCCACCTACAGTTTGCCGATGATATCATAATTTTTTGTGAAGGGGGGGATAGGTGGGAAGTGAGGATTCTCAAAGCATTGTTACAACACTTTGAGAATGTCTCCAATTTGAAGATTAACCTGGATAAGAGTTGTGTGGTAGGGGTTAATTTGAATGAGAGGACTCTTCAGTCTGTGGCAGATTGTTTAGGTTGTCCCATTTCTTCTTGGCCCTTGCGGTATCTAGGTCTCCCTCTAGGGGCTAACCCAAAGGAGAGTAGATTTTGGACCCCAATTCTGGAAAAGTTTGAGAAAAGATTAGCTTCTTGGAAAAAGAACTACATTTCCATAGGGGGTCGAGTGACCTTATTGAGAGCTATCCTAGCAAGTTTACCGATCTATTTTCTCTGTCTTTAGGATTTTATTAGGGAAGCTAAGAAGTTGGAGAGGATAATGAGATATTTTCTGTGGGAGCCTGGGGAGGAAAAGAAAGATCATCTAATCAATTGGGAAATAGTTTGTAGGAGTAAAGAGGAGGGTGGATTGGGAGTAGGAAGGTTAGCTCTAAGGAATAAAGCTCTCTTAAGGAAGTGGTTGTGGAGGTGGCCTAGAGAAAGGGAGAGATTGTGGCATGAAGTGATAGCTAGTATACATGGCAGATGGGAAAATGGTTGGGATGCGGGTGTATCACGCCGAGCTACGTTGGCATCTCCTTGGAAAGCAATTCAAAGTGTCCTCCCTCAGTTTCTCAACTTGGTCAGGTATGATGTTAACTCTGAGAAAGGGAGAGATTGTGGCATGAAGTGATAGCTAGTATACATGGCAGATGGGAAAATGGTTGGGATGCGGGTGTATCACGCCGAGCTACGTTGGCATCTCCTTGGAAAGCAATTCAAAGTGTCCTCCCTCAGTTTCTCAACTTGGTCAGGTATGATGTTAACTCTGGTGACTCTATTTTATTTTGGGAAGATACTTGGGTGGGTACTGTTGCCTTTAAGGACAGATTCCTGGCTCTCTATTCTCTTTTCCTTTACAAGGAAAAAACTGTTTCTCATTTTCTTCCTTCTATTACTTCACCCTCTTCCTTAAGCTGGGACTTTGGTTTTAGGAGAGGTTGGAGGGATGTTGAACTTAGTAGTGCTTCAGAATTGTTCTCTTTTTGGCAGTGTCTTTCTGGACCCTCTTTGGTCGGATGTGAGACTATGGTTCCCTCATCCAAAAGGTTTTTTCACTTGTGCTTCCTTTTTTAAGTCCCTTTACCCCTCCATGGGACAGTTGGGTTTCCCTTCTAAGGAGATTTGGTTGAGACCTGTTCCTCCTAAATTTATAATTTTCTGCTAGGAGGTGTTTTATAGAAAGATCAATACTTTGGATTGCTTGCAGAAGAAAAGGCCTTTCATGTGTTTGTCCCCTAACTGGTGTGTACTTTGCAGGGCTAGTGGTGAGGATTGCTCCTACCTATTTGTATCTTGTTCCTTTTCTAGTGTTATTTGGAGTTGGATTTTTTCTTTGTTTGGATGCAGGTGGAATCTGTCATCAGAATTAAGTCAGCTGTTCGATCCTTCTTTTTTTGTGTGGCCTACAAAAAATGGAAAAACGATGTGGAGATGTATTAGAGCAGCAGCCTTGTGGACAATTTGGGAAGAAAGGAATGCTAGGGTGTTCAAAGAAAAGGAAAGAAGCTTACAAACTGTTGAGGATTGTATAATGACTAGAGCCATTCATTGGCTAAGAACTTTGGACTTCTTTCATACGTTTTCCTTTGATGACATTTGGAGTAACTGGAAGGCAGTAGCTACTAGTCATACGAGGAGGGACAAGGCAGCTGCAGTGTGGAAGCCTCCGCCTGAAGGTTGGGCAAAGCTGAATTTTGTTGGTAGTAGCCAAGGAAACCCAGGCCCTTCGGGGATAGGAGGGGTGCTGAGAGATAGAAAGAGCAACATTTTAGCTTTGTTTTCAGGCCCTGTGGGAATAGGAGACTCAAATAGAGCAGAGATCTTAGCGGCTGTACAAGGCATCCAGATTGTTGAACAGTTAGGAGTTCAACACTTGATAGTTGAAGGAGACTCTAAAATTGTTGTGGGATGGCTGACAAAGCCAGCTTCAGCTATGTGGCGATATAGAGACTTATTGAGGAAAGTCAATTGGCTCACAAGAAATATGACAGTTACCTCTCTTTGGGTAGAAATATTAGCAAATTCCTTAGCGGATTGACTAGCTAAGCAAGGGGTTTCAAGGGATCATCTGTTTTGGGCTGCTATGTAATTTTATTTCTGTTTATTTTTGCTTATCCGGTTCTTAAATGATGTAATACTTTGTTAGAAGAGGTAACAGCTCGTGCCTCTTCATGGGTTTCTTGTATTGCCTTATATTCTGAATTAATAAATTATTTTCATTCATAAAAAAAAAAGAGTGAGAGTGATTTTACCCCAAAAGCAATATGCGTTCATAATAAATCTTTTGATAAGTGAGCCCTAAATGGCTAAAATTCCTTTCTTCTATGAGTTCCTCTCAAAAGGAGATCAAGATATTTGAAAGGCTAATTCCATCCTTCATGTTCCATAGTAGAAGTATAGAACTGAACATCCTCTTCATGTTTGCGCCTTCACACAACTTCTACTGAATATCCATAACCTGTCTTTTTTCACTAACTTAAAAATTTTGTGTAGAAAAAAAACTAGAGGAGTTTTACATGTCAAACACCACCATTCCCTAATAAAGGGGTAAGATCTCCTGGTAAGCTTAGAGGTGATAACAAGATAATAGTAAATTGAGAATCATTGAAAGAACTTAAAAGATGTCTTCCAAGTTGGTGCCCAGTGTCATCTGTGAAGAGTTAGAGGATCATATTCTGGATGGTTGCATAGGTTCTCACTATTTTCAACTTCCATACAATTCTCAAGTATGCTATTGAGCTAGAGAAGTAAACGGTTGAAGATGGAGAAGAAGTTCTTCACTCCTTTATGTATGAGTATATATACACATGTATCTCTCTGCATATGATACTGAAAGAATTTCAGTTTCTTTTTGTTAATTCCTCCACTGATCTCTTCATTTCTTTGATTGGGATGTCTACGTGCAGGAAGGCTACTAACAGCACTGATATGTGAATACCTGGACTGGGCACAACTGGGTCACACCCTAAAAGTTTTTCTGCCTGAATGTAATTTGGTAATCATGTAATTCTTTCTGTTTCAGATAGCATATTGATTTTCAGATTTTACTTAAAATGCTTTTTTGTTACATTTTCTTGTTTGCTTATAAATTACTTTTCTTTTGCAGCAAAAGGATTTTTGGAAAGCTGAGTTGAAGGATTTCTCTAGCAAGAATGAATATGATTTGAACAGGAATGGAGAAAGTGGTCCTTTGCTTCTAGATGTTCTTGAAGGGTACTTGAAATTTGAGGTCTGATGCCCTAAATACCATCCTCAATATCTAGCCTAGTACTATAATTCAGAAATATATTTTTGAGGGCAACTTTGTATTCAAATGGGATTGGGAGGGGGATGTACATGAAGGATGTATAGAGGAAACAAAAGGCCCTAATCAATTGCAAAGGTAAAGTATTAGCACTATACAAAAAGCTTTTGTCCACGCTTGACTTTGAAAGACTATCAGCTAAAGAGTTCGTCTTTCTTGGAATCTGTTGAAGTTCGGCCTGCCCTAGAAGTCTGTTTGTCTGTTAGCAGTCAAGTAATGCAAGCAAGCAAGAAGAAGGAAGAAAGAGAGAAAAGGTTTGGTTCGAAATTAGGAAAAAATTCAAAACCTACTTTCGGCCAGACCTGTTATTATATTATTAATATGATAGGAAAAGACATCAGTGCCCTTATTTAAGTAAGAGGCACTCGAACTAACATAATAAAACAACTCAGCAATCTCAACAGGTACAAAGACTGAAATACCCCTTCACTAACACTCCCCCTCAAGCTGGTGAGTATATATCATATAATCCCAGCTTGTTACATATGTAGTCCACTCTCCCCCGACTCAAACCTTTTGTAAACAAGTCTGCCCACTGGTTTTTCGTATTAACATATGCAGTCTCTATTACTCCATTCAGCACCTTCTCTCTCACAAAATGACAGTCAACCTCAATGTGCTTGGTTCTTTCATGAAACACCGGATTAGAAGAGA